GACCATCTTAAAAATGCTTCACCACTAGCCAGTCCAGGGCAAGTGAAAGCAAATGCTGGATGTCCTGACTTCTCGGATGTCAGGTGTCCTGGATGAGGCCTCCTGACCAGGCAACAATAGTCAAGAGCACTCAAGGATTTCAGCATTGCTGGAAAATGACAAGCACACAGATCCCCACACAGATGCTGTGAGGACTGTGAATAACCTGTCAATACTGTGAACACTGCGGACATCTTGATAGTGTGAACGACGTGAATGCGCATCCCACTCACCATCCTGGGACCTGTGTAATGTGTGGAGATGTAGTCTGCCAGGTCATCCCTGCTTATGGCCCTTATGTTTTCAGCTGGCCCTAGGATAGTCCTACCCAGGGGGCTGTGCTGGAAGGCTGTAGCATGCAGATGGTCGAATACCACCTCATCCATTTGCTTCTCAACCTGTGGCGCACAGATAAAGAATAAACACGAAATTAACACTGAATCAGCTGCAAGACTATGTAACCTAAATTGTGCCAATAAAACAAATACAATGCATAAGTATAGTAACAGCACAACTTATTGTAAGAGGCAATATGCATGTTTACAACTGCAGTGCAATGTAGAATAGGGCAGTGGCCCAAATGTATATTAGGTGCAGATTCAGAAAAAATTGTTGATAAATGAATGAACTGAATGTGATAGAAGATGACTATATTCTACAGCCCAACAAATTGCTGCCCTTGCGGTGTCATGGAGGTGGCAGGCCCCACGAAGATTGTGAAGATCAACGCCTGTACAGTGCATGCCCAGCACTGTTATGAAAATAATGAAAAAAATAGACAACCAAAGAGACAAGTAGAAAAGTGCGCAAGCTAACAAATAAATCAATCAATATGGACAAGAAATTCAAGCTTACAGTCACAAGTTTTGCACCTGCAGTGCACAGTGGGGTGTCCTACTGGTGAACACTGCCCACAGCATTATGAGTGGGTGCCCAATGCTGCAACTGGTGCACCCAAAAAGATTGAAGATCCGCAAAAAGGAGCTAAAATCAGTAGAAGGGTTAAACAACACAGAGAACACAAGAACAGAATGGCAGCAGGAATAAAGTAGAACCAGCAAGCAAGCCTGTCCTGAATGTCCCATGTCTTGCAGCGCAGTACACCATAGTACAAAGCAGTATGACACAGTAAAACACAGCACGCATTGGGTCTGTGTAACACTTCCTCTACACTGTGCTCTGCTGTGCATTTCTGCAGTATGATCCTGCAACATCTTCCTCAGCACACTTCGCACCTCCTCCATCTCCCTTAAAATCACCCCACTCTCCCGTGCGATGGCAGCCTCGTCAAACACGGGGTTCTGCAGAATGTCCGCCAGGATGTCCACCGCTTTAGGCACATCCTTGGCCATGACCTTGGCAAAGTAGCAGGTGACCTCCCGAGAGGTGTAGGCATTCAGGTGGCCGCCCATGTTTTCCACCTCAACCTCCAGGCTCTTTGTCGTCCTGTCCTGTGGGTACGCACGTGAATTGACTCTTTCTGATCCCATAGACAAGGTGGCATAGAACAGCAAAGCAACATGCAAACATCAAACATTGCTACATAGACATATAGGACTATTTGAAGTACTGTTCAATGTAATGTAAAGGTGTAAAATGATAGATGCTCTTGTCTCATTTTGTGAAAGTGACAGAGAATGGCCCTTGCACCTGCATGGTGTTGTCAGGCATGACTCTCCCTGTGGATTGTCCACAATAATATTATAACAAATGCCAACACTTATGCATTCCGATAGTGACAATTAAAACATAAAGCAAAATGGGGTTTTTGACAGACATGTGTCAGTCACCATGCCCGTCAACTTGTATCTCTTGAAATCAGTTTTTAGTCACAATTCACTGCTGTTTCAAAATTGTCAACCAGCAGCAGCATTAGCCATGGCCACAATACATCACCCCACAGTAACATGTGACTTAAACACAAAACTTGACACAGCCCGAGCGCGAGGATGTGCTATTGCTCATCTATTCATGTGGTCCAGTGGTGGCAGCACATATGCGATCTCCTCAGGAGTTGACAGGGACAGTGCTTTTCCTATTTGGCTGAGCAGAAACGAGTTGGCTTTGGCATCCAATTGGCGGGATTCTGGAGTCCGATCATTGTGCACTGGTACCAAGACATCAAGAACATTCAATTGTGCATTCCCATCGAGTGAAATCTCTGGTTGACAGCTGGACACGCGTGTGCAAATGTTTCGGCAAAATCTTGTCAAAACTATGTACTGTATAGTACGTATATTGTATAGTTAATATGCTGCAGGTTGGCGGCCCCACCCCAATGCACATGCTGCCCTGGTGGGCTGCAAACACCTTTTCAAGACAATGAACAGTCTCCTAGGTCAACAGATTCTGGTGTCAAGTCATGTCACGTCAAGTGTTGGAGACAACAGTGAGCCAAAACACACAACACATTTGTTTTGTAGCAGCTGGCCATTGCTCCATCAACTCACACAAAGTGAGTGATACATGTCCAAAGCCTGTCCCGATCAGCACTGCAGGGGCTGCAGCAGTACTGATCAGTGAGACATCCAATAACCTATAGGGTTTGACTAATGTCCAAGCCTTTTCTGTATCAGCAGTAAAGGGGATGCACTGGTGCCTGTCAGTGGGACATCCACCCACAAGGGAATCCACTTATCTTGGCCTTTCCAAAATGGACTTGGGCAAGGTGCAGCAGACTCCCTGCCCAACATCCTATTTAGTTTTCTCAATTTCATCCGATGCATTTCTTCTTATTTCTTTCCTCTGTTTGGGTTAAATGCTGCTGTCTTTCTGTTGAATTCACAGTTGCTTGGTAACTTATGCACCACAAACCCCAAACAAAAGACAACAAAAGTACTATGTACAGCTACAGCAAGAGGACTGCAGCACTATTGTACTGTCCCCTGCCCTATAACCCACCTTCGTCCCTTTGAAGGCCATGTGCTCCAGGAAATGAGCTGTGCCATTGTTTCTGTCGGTCTCGAAACGGCTCCCAGCATCGATCCACACACCCACTGTCGCAGTCTCAGCGAATGGCTGTGTCTCACTGGCGACCCGCAGGCCATTTTGAAGCACACTGACCTGAAAAATGGCAGCTGCATCAACTGAATGGCCTGATTCTGGAAGTAACCTCTTATGGTAAACAACCCTTCGATGCATAATACACCTTGCGTAGTATAATGTCAATTTGAAACTATTTCGAAAAAAACCCATTTGCCCAAACCTGTTTTGATTTAGAACAGTCAATTCAGATAAGCCCCATTTGACTTAGTTGATCTGAGTTTGTGCAGCTGGATCGCCTGTTGTCGATGCCTGCAGTCAGCAATTTCCAATAGACCACAACAAGTGGCCATACGGGCCAGAGTAAGGAAGGAAATCTGAGCTACAGGGCCCACACAGCACTTGGACTTGGAGCACTTCGGTTTTGATTCACTCGAGAGAGGACGTCGGGCATGCCTGGGCCATCTTCACAGGCTGCCTAATCTAATTGATCTTTAAGGCTCTTCCAAAGTCCAATCACTGCCACCTAATAGCATCCCAATTGTCTCCTGTTCACGGAAATCTACCCCCAGCGTCTGGCCTGCTCGAGTGCTAAGAAGCCAGGCTCTGGTGGACATTCAATGCCTTTTCAATAAGAAATAGTAGAAACAAGTAATATAAAGTACTAAACCTTTTACCACTTTCCCAAACAGTTTTTATTCATGTCACCATCAAAAAAACAAATATAGTGGTAGAAACGCAAAACTGGAGGGAACTGAGAACCGAGGTCAAGAACTCACTGTGAGACATGCAATTGAGATGGAGACTTCTGGTACTGGCCCTCCGTAAAATATGCTTTTCACAATCGATACATTTACTTCTTATTGCCTGGGGTGCTAGCCACAGTATACTTGCCCAGTGTGCCAAAATGACTTTGAACTGCTTGCTCACTGGGAACACCCATCGCCACTAGCAAAAGCGACACAGGCAGGTGATCATTGTTCTGGAGCTTTACATCTCTCTGTCATTTACTGCAAGGTGACAAGCGCCTCATCTCTTCTATTTTGAAGGAGACCGCACCTTGACACTCCAACACGATGCAATACACTGGAATCAAATCGGCAACAACAACAGTACGCCCAACAGACCAGGTGCCAAAGCACTATCTCCTTTCCTGAACCCTTATTTAGGATCTTGCCATCCACCAAATCACCACGCGATGCAGCTGACTTGTGCACTGCAGACAGATTGCGAAACGGAAAATGAACAAGGGAATGGCTGGCTTGCGCATTGTAGACAGATTGCGAACGGGAAAATGAACAAGGGAATGCAGGGGGAACAAGAAACGTTTTGATGTCTAAGGTCCCATCATCGTATGCAAGATGCAAGTGCTTTTTCGTGTGAATGCACGCAAGGCACCAAGGTCTCAGATGTGTCATGTCCCACAAACACCCCCATCTGTCAGGATCAACCTGCCAAACCACACCCAGCCAATCACAAACGTGCGCCCCAAGCGAGCCTGATAGCCGGATTGAGTCTCAAGCAAGGGTGCAATTTGGAGACGTGCCAGCTGGTAATGAACCAGATCATCAACTATTTTAGGTTCCAATGCACGGGGACAAACGAACGCAGTGACCGCACATCCCCAGAAAACCCCGCAAGGCGCAAGGCCTCCACTCTGTCTTGCGATGACAAATCCAGCACAAGGAAATGAGCGGCGACGCGCTGGCCAGTCCTTCCCCCTCTCCTCCCTTTCCTCACACCCCAGATCGCCCCCCAGGCCCCAAGCCGCAAGCCCTCTTCCCTCATCACCTCCGCCCCCACGCTCCACATCATCCTTTCACAAACCCAAGAGAGAAAGAAAGAAAGCAAAAGGAATCGCCTCACACACACTCGCTCGGCATGGCCTGCACCCTCCATGCCCCCGTCCCTTCCTTTCCAAAAGCAACAGATCGCATCCTCTCCCCCCGCCCACCCACCCCACCTTGGTCTCTGGTACGGACTCCAAGATCGCGGACTCCCTTATCCAAAAACAGACAGTCTCCCGCACACCAGCTGCCTAAGAACAGGATGCCGATTGCATGCCCCGTCTTTCTGATGAAGTGCAACAGACCTCACAGGAACACACGGCCTCCCACCTTGGTCTCAGGCACGGCCCCCATGATCGCCGAGTGGTCGCATCCGCGCGGCTCGATCGACCCGTGGCGCAGGAAGGGCGACTCCTCCGCCAGCGCGGGCTGGGCGGCGGCCGCCATGCCGCGCAGCTGCGGCATCAGCGCCGCCCGCCGCCAGCGGCGCGCTAGGCCTTGGCCGAGAAAGCCCAGCATGGCGAGAAGGGGCGCGGGGGTGGAGGGGGGGGTGGAGGGGGCCTTGGAGAGGGGGCCGAGGGATATGGAGAGGCGGGAGGGCGCGAGGCTGTGGCCGGGTTGGTGGGCCGGGAACCCGGTTGGTCCACACATCAATCATCATCGTCGTCGTTCATTCTTACTTGGCCAGGCAAGGAGGCAGTAGTTAAGACTTCTTGCACGTGAAGGCGAGGAGGCAGCCATCAGCTCCCCATTTCGCCCGAGCAAAGCGGTGTCTGTGAATTGTTTCATGGTGGTGACGAAGGTAGGCAGGGTCGAGGGGTGGCGATCCCTGAACGGGAACTGAACGCTCGAGTCCACGGCAACGGTTTACAGCCGATGCAACAGGACAACAGGCGTTCTGTCCTTTATATTGAGCCCGTTCATCAAAATCCTTAATGCAATTCCTAGTGCTTCGTCATCTTTTCATGCATTCAGTTATTAATACTTCAAGCAGTAAACTAAATTATTAAATATATTAAGTGAATCAGATAGATTAATACTTCAAGAAGTAACACTCAATCAGTTCCAGCTGTAACAGTAACCAATGGCATTGCCACAAGGCGGCAGTCAGCTTCGCAATTTGCTTCGGAGTTTTGGTGCGGATGGTAAAAATTCTCTTTTGGGAAGAATTGTCTGAGGCTCAGTACTTTGCAATTTTTGACTGCGCCAGCATTTCCTGAATGATCTTTTAAAGAGGGTGTCTGACCGGGGATTGAGCCGGGCATCACTGGGCGGGGTGTCCCACTGCTCTACCAAACCACCTGGACCAGGGGCAAGAAGAGTGTAGTGCAGCCCCTTAAGTACCCTGCCACCCAACAATGGGCGAAGCAGTGTCCATGACCAGCTCATTTAAGTGTAATGTACAGCAAAAATCAACGCAAATAAATCAAGCATCATCATGAAATATGACATGCCAAGGTGAGGGGGCGGCCATGAGGTTTCGCCCCAAGCGGTGTCCATGATTTATGCGAAGAGAGCCGATGATAGTGCTGTGGTAAAGAGGCCGCTGAGTTGTTGTGCCTCAGAACCCACCAGTTCACAAAATTCGCGATGACAAAGCCTCCCGAACCCATTGCACAAGTACTTGTAAATGTCGCCAAGCCCAAGTGAATAAATATTTTTAAATATTCTTTCCACTCAATAATTTTCCTCCATTCAACATTTTTCACTCATTCCCTAAAATTTTCATCCAGACAATCCTTTTTTTGTTTAACAAGTCTTCAAATTGAGATCAAGAATTGTTGCCAACTCGCCACATGATCGGTGATCACCCATCGCTTCTATTGATGCACCCTATCTCGGTGTTGCTCTGTCCATTCTTCCAACACATGTCCATCACAAAATAACCAGATCGCCGGAATTCAATTTGATATATATCTCGTGGATCTGCAAAAGATATCATATCAGATCAGATCAGATTCGCAAATCAGATCAGAGGCAATCGCCCTGTTGCCGAGAAGTGAAGAGAAAAGTGTGAGGAAAAAAACCCATGCCGTTCGTTTGCTGGATTCCTGCCCTAAAAGCCATCAGCGGAATCTACGAATTGCAGTTTGATCCCCACATGCCCGAGGACAGAGACACCCTAGATTTTGCTGCACGGTAAGTTTGCATCGATTGGTACCTTCGGGCGATGATTTATTGATTAATGGTAATTGCCAATCACCTCGGGGCAATTGCTGGATATGGCGTTCCATTGATGCTTTTTGCATTTCGATGCGAACTCGCGGATCCTTCTTTCCTCGGACGGGATGGGGAGGTGTTAGCGCGTGTAATTTGTTTTTAAAACAGAGCAAAATTTGCTCGTTGTGCGGGAATTTGCCATTTAGGTGCAGTTCTTTGTTTCGATGGACCACAATCTCGCCAAACTGTCAGCGAAGCTGTGTGCTGTGTTGGCGGGTTTTAAGCAGGTCCCTAAGACAGCCTCCAATTTATGTTCACTTTCTTTCTGCAAGCTCCTTGCAGTGTTCATCACACACGTAGTGGCCGATGCCCCGAGCAACCAGATATATTCCCTGTCCATCAGCAATAACGGGAATAACTTCGGCAACAAATTACCAGTTGGTAATTGCCTTTGTGCAGGGCTCACATTCTATTGAATGGTGTGCACGCAATGCCATATATATGCGTACAATGCTCATTCCAACGAGCATTCGAACACATGTCAAACTATGCAGAAAGGTAATTTCTGGCCAGTGGTACAGAGCGCACGGTTTAAGAGGGGAAAAGGCCGCAGACGGCTGGCAACAGTGAAAAAAGGAAGGCACAAGAGTACCTTCTTCGCCGGTGCATCGGGCCACAATTCCCGTCACACCTGCGGTGCTGCCAGCATCGGAATGTGCACACTCTTCCCTGGTAGGGATCACCTACTAAGGGAAGAACGGGATAACGAATCTTTTGTGACTGTGTGATTTGTTTGCTGAAATTCTCGCTTGAGATTGCCTTTGCAAAACAAACCGGTGCCCTTGCACTTTGTAGGCGATTGTGGCCGTGTATACATCCAACGGTGTTTCAGATACATTGGTGATCCTGGCGGAGGACAAAAACTGCGATATCCTGTAGACGTGGGGCGCTGTGAGAGGCAGCTTACGGTAGGCAGTCTCCAGGAAGCGGTTTAAGTCATGGCTGTTGATGCGCAGGCCTCTTGATTGCGAGAGCGCCCTTCTCCACGACGACCTTCGCCAGACGTTCACAGCTTTGCTGGCGACGTGGGTTGCTGGAAGGGGCCCCTCGCCAAGCATCACGATCCATGCTACGCCCCCGATCTTTCTCCCCCGCCACCCCGTTTGCGCTTAATGCACAAAACGCCTGCTTGCGCCCTGCCTGTCCCGCCCCTTGCCGACCGCCAAGAAACAACAACTGGGAAATCAGCTGCTTGACATGTCGAATCTCCATGTACCAGCAACAATACTATCAACAGCCCATTTTTCACTTTTCAGCTATCTATATGCCCCTGCCCCAGGCCCTGCCCATCACAGCGCCCACGCATCGGCTGCCAGCTTCCAACCCATTTCTTGGCACATAAAACTGGCGCAAGGCTCAGCACTCTCTATCACATTGTACCACTCATCCTTGAAAGGGGACGCCGGGCTCCTTCAGTTGATGTCGGCTTGTAGTTTAGGACGGCGGCGAGCTCCCAACCAGCACACATTCTGGGGAAAAAGACACACAAGGCCCACTATACATTATACTACTATGCTGTACCACTGTTTGTCCTTAGGGGCCTGGGGATCCCTGAGCAGTCCTAAACTGTCCCAGCAGTCCTAAACCGACTCAGTTTAGGACGGCGGCCAGCTCTGCCAGCATTGGCAGCTCGTCGGCCACCGCGTCCAGGTCCTCTCCGGTGAGCTCTGACAGCGCCTTCCGCCTCTCGAGGACAGTCGCTCGAAGGTCCTGCGCCTGTGGCGGCGTTTGGCCCGGTCAGCTCACACCAACCATCCACTCAGCAGAGGATCGGCAAAGAACCGGCAGAGAATTGCATGCTGGACGTCATCAATGTACTGGAAGTTGTCACTCATTGCGGTTGTGATCATGGGAGTGTATTCGGTTGCGACCAAAACTCTTCATTGCAGTGACTACAATCTGGTTCAATTAGCTTGCATGTTACTATACAGGCATGGGTGCTGTCCCTGTGGACCATGTGCTGCACCTGCAGCACGTTGGCCCAAAAAGAGTCTCCTTTAAAATTTTGAATCACATTCGAATCTACTCCGCCAGTAAAAGAAGTCAAAGAAAAGAAACAATTCTCAGAGGGAGAGCCCCAAAGGGTTCATTTCACAGGGCATCTGTCGTGGGGATTGATTGATGACACAGAGGTCAGAGTCCATTGGTCCCATCCCAGCAAAAGTAGCAGTTGCTTGTTGACTGTGATCTCTTTGGTGGGCAGAAGTTGCTGTCAATGGTGGGTGGGTGGGGGCCGGATGTGCCCTTGCACTCCACCCTTCTGTCTTACACACTGATGAGTCAAGCATGCAACACATGACTTGGCTGCAGCGTGCTCTGTTTGATGTGCTGGTGAGCCAAACATGTGACGTAGTACTTGGTTTCATGTCGCTCCACGCAGAGTACAAACAACAAAACCAAAGAACACAAGTAATCGGTTCAATATCTGTTCGCGCAGCCAGACCGTGGCACCGTGGCACGTTCCAGCCTTCAACAACATCGTCAGCGTCTTGAACAAAAATAAGCTCTCTATACCGCAGAACGCCCAAATGCAAAGACAGTATTTTGAAAGAAATGAAGAGGAAAACAGCTCCTTGCACTTCTTAATGGCACCATAGCGTCAAATTTTGATTGACAAGAAGAATAGCACGCGCTGTTACTCCTGAACGGACAATGAGGCGTCATATTCTGGAACTAAAGAGAAAAGTACAGCTGCTTCCTTACTCCACCATGGCAAAACCCAGCGCCGTATTTTGGCATATTGATAAAAAGACAGCCTTTGGCAATCCCTAATGGCAACAATAACGTGATTTTGACAGAGAAAAAGCACAGCACCTCTGTTACTCTCTTACCCAAACGGCAAATGCAACGTCATATTCTGGAACAAAGAGAAAAGCGCAGCTTTCCAGCACAAAAGGCAAACATTACGTCACATTACACAATTGGAACAGAAAATGGGATGCATCAAGGGATACATTAACGGGTGCATACGAGGTTCGCCAGCGCCACGGACCTGCCTGAGGGCCTCCCTGCCCTCTTCGTCCTTCGCGACCTGCAGCATGACACCCAAGGCAGATTCCCTGGCGTTGACGTCATCGGAGCAAATGAAGTCGCCAAGCAGGAGGACGGCCCCCGCGTCTCGGAAGTGCCTCCGGCGCTCGGCGCTCTTGTCCAGGAGGTACTGCAGGAGGAACAGGGAGCGCCTGGAACAGCAGATGAGCAGCCGAGGTTGAGCACAACAAACCAGA